CTTCAGTTGGAAGAAATCAAAGAGGAATTGTGTCAATATTTTATTGAGCAGAGAATCATATAAGGTATGAATACATTATTATGTGAAAAGTGTTATGAATACGTTACATGTGTACATGGAATACCATATTGACCGTGTTATTATGTTCAAACCTCGCAGGACCAGGACCTTAATACATAATTGACCGTGTTTCTTTCATACAATAGGATTGGTTTAGTTGTTGTTAGGGTTGATTTTGTAAGACTGATTTTGAGTTACAATGCTGATAACAATGGTTTTTATATATTTTGAGGTACAAAAATGGTGTATATATATTTTGGATTACAATGGTATATAATGCATTACCGCGGTTTATGAATTACAGGTTATGGCAACTGGTTTATATAAATAATGTGCTGCAAACAATACAGGTATATGAATTATATAAATTATACCTCTAAAAAAAACACCCTATGAAAGCGCTTTTTCAAGAAAAACGCTGCCTTAGGTAATCTATGAAAGCGCTTTTTCACAAAAAGCGCCGTCTAAGGTAAACATATGACAACGCTTTTCTAGGAAAAAGTGCTGCTAAAAGACCACCTATGAAAGCGCTTTTCCAGAAAAAAGCGTTGCTAAAAGCCTACCTAAGACAACGCTTTTCTAGAAAAAAGCGTTGCTAAAAGAAAACTTATGAGAGCGTTTTTCCAGAAAAAAGCGCTGCCTTAGGTAGACCTATGAAAGCGCTTCTTCATAAAAAAACATTGTATTAGGTAGACCTACGAAAGCGCTTTTCATTAAACAAAAAGCGCTGCTAAAACCTATAGCAGCGCCACCTACGAAAGCGCTTTTAAGCGCTTTTAAAGGCCAAAAAAAGCGCTTTCGTAAGTCTTTTTTGGCGTAGTGTCTTTATGTGACTGAAGACTAATTCATTAAGTTATCTGTAATATTTATGACTTTTATCTGGTTGTTTTTGATTTCTATAAGTAGCTAAACTCAATAATGCTAGGGGGTGTCCTTGATTCAGTATTGTAATGACTTTGAATTTATAATTGCAATGACAATCTTGTTTTATCATAATTGATTTATTCTCATGATGATCATAATGCTTTTTCTTTCGAACAAACTAAGTTTGATTTACGATTATGGATAGAAATAAGCCAGACCAATAACAGGGGTCTACAGGTTAGCAAGCCTTTTTAAATAGAAAAGGCTCAGGCTTTTTTATAAGCCTATTTAGTTAAAAATACTAGGCTACAAGCCGCAAAAAAAGTCTTTTAAGCCTATCAGGATGACCTATTTAAATAAATATGAATAATTTTATTATTATATGGTGTTTGTATTTTAAATTAAAATACAAAAATAAATTTTAGATGTCTAGAAAGACTTATAAAAATACACTAAAAAAACCTTACGAACAATATCATAAGTTATTTTCATAAGTTTTCTCAAACAAATAGTATCACAAAATATATGTTAATAGGTAAACTTGAATAAGTCAACGCAAATAAGTATATAGTCTAATTAATCTTTTAATTTGTTAGTCTATTTTAACATTAGTTGAATTGCTTATTTTAAAATATTCAAATAAAATAGGCTTTTATGTAGGCTAATAGGCTAATCAGACTTTTGAAAAGGCCGGACTCAGGCCTAAAAAAAGCCTTTGATAGGCCACATGTCAGACTTAGGCTTTGAAATTTTTAGCAGGTCATGCTCAGGCTTGGGAAAGCCTAGCTCGGTCTAGTCTATTTTTACCCCTACTTAAGATTAATAATTAGGCTGAACTGCTATTGTTAATGCCTTTTGTGAGAATATTTTGTAGTAGATATCACCTAGGACTAGGGATACCCTATAGAAACCAGATTATTCTTGATATAATGATGCTTATTTTCATTTGTAATTTCCTATGGACATAGAAATTAGTTTGAATGATTAAAGGTTTTCTCACCAAGTACTTAGGAGTAAACACTCAAAAGAATCGATAATCAATTCTTTGAAATATGTTGTTGCAATGTTAGTTCAGAGTTGTTACATGAATGAATCACACACATTCCCTAACATATTACTTATATCGTTCTAAACCGTTCAAACACTTCTATTTATTTTTCAGAAAGGCCACCGTGCATACAATTCAATCACTTTGCCTTTCTCAGACCTCGCGCTCAAAAGACTGTTGACTATGATAACTTTTATTGAACTCTAAAAGGAAACAACCCATTGTCTAAACAACTCAAAAGAGTGATGAAATGGCCATTGAAGAATCAGACAAGCGTAATCCTGCTCGCCCAATTATAGCTTAGTCGTCCGACCTGAACACATGTCCATTACTAGCTCATCTCTTTAATACGCGATAGATGAAATGTCCTTAAAAGAACCCGTTTAATGATACATACAAAGGAGAAAACCACTCCTCCAATACAAAAAGAAAAATTGTTCTTCACCAATATTCTCACATACTCGTTCGAAAGCTGAAAAAATATTGTTTGTTTTCCATGATCTAGCCCACAGTTTTGTCTACAAATATTTCAACCTTTAGAGTTGAAAACATCACTCACTAATTTCACACCATCAACCTACACAATTTCTCTTTTAAGTTCTACGCGAAATTACCATTGCATTTTTGCCGGTACACATGCATATATATGCAATGTAACTTGGGATGAAAGTTTTAACCACTTATCAATTTATTCATTCAAATATAAATTAATGAAACCTACAACTAATGAGTTAATGAATAGATTGAATCCAATAAATATTTTTTATTATATTTTTAATCTTTTAAGAGAAACAACCACACGATTAAAATGATAGATGGTACACCACTAAATTATGTTGGATTGGAAGATTTTTTTCTAAGTGGAATTGAAGTTGCAAAGGAGTGTGATACTCAGCATGTTGACCAACCAACGAGGAGAAACATTTTATAGAACTACAAAGTACATTGTTAAAAAAACGAAGAAGGTATGCTTTGTAACCAATCACATGCACAAACACATATTTGCAAAAGTTGATTATAGAAAATGAGCAAAGGTTTTCTTTTTACACTTAAATATTTCAATCTTAAGTCCAAATAAGATTGTTGTCTTGGTATTATTTGGAGTAAAGAAATGGTTACAAATTTGGGTCTCATATCCATTTAAAACCAACATCGCAATGGAGATATCATCCAACACACCTTATATCCATCCATTTAAAACCACAATTGTCCAAATTCAAAGATATAGAAGACAACACTTACCAGCTTTATTAAGCTATCAATAAGGATACATTTTATACGGATTGTATAATGTACTTTATTTTATTCATACTGCACTTGAATTGGATTATAGTAAATTTATTTAGCTTTATATATTATTGTAAAACTTGTCACAACTTTAAAGTGTTAATTTAATACTAAAAATTTAACTCATAATGCTGTGAAAATCAAAGTTTAATGCTGTGAAAATCAAAGTTTCAAACATGAAGTAAGAAGGTTTATTTATTTTATATTAAATGGTAGACATCACAAAAACAAAACAAAAAAAGAATCTGATCAACTCTATCCCAAATTTAATGAAGGAAAATTATTTTAATTGAAATTATTTGATGTCAAAACTGATTCTAACTCGACTATATCGATTGTTATAAATAAATAAAAAAATTAAATTTTTATTTACGAGAATATAGATATCACTATTGACCACATCTCTATTTCACTAATTAAATTAATTTATTATTTATTAATTCTTGTTAATTTTAAGATATCAAGTTTATTATAATAATAATTTTTTTTAAAAAAAATATACACCGACAATATAAAATAATTTTACATTATCAATAAATGACAATCATATATTATATCAAGTTAAATTAAAAATTTTAAAAACTTATATGACATAATGATATATTTTCATTGGATGATAGTGTAAAATTTTTTTACACTATCGATATATTTTCATTAAATTAATTTTTTTAAATATAAATTAAATGACAATGATGATAGATTATAATTATTTTTAAAATAATCAAGTATTATAATAATTATTTTTCAACTAATTTTAATTTAAAAAGAAAATGCATTTAAAAAAATTAAAGTTTATGTGGATGAAAGTTGAGCGATATAAGAAAACTTATTTTCTGTAAAAGGCGAGAGTGAACAATTAATTGTTACTCTTGATTAAAATTTAGAATAGTGAAAATATAGAAACGTAGGAGTGAAGTTGGTAATCCGCCACCGCTCCGCCATTGCCCTGTCCATTAAAAGGTAAATTTAATCGATTTATTATTAATAATATTGTTATTTTTTTTATATATTATACTTCAAGACTCAAGTAACTTGCAAACTACGTGATAAATTGCTAGGGTGTTGCAAATAAATATTAATTTTTTTTATTAAATATTAATTTTATTTGAGAAAAAAAGACGTTTAGTATAAATTAATTTTATTACCAATCAATAACAATTATATATTTCTTCAAATTAAATTAAAATTTTTAAATTATTTATATAATAATATAATACATTTTTATTAGATGAGAATATAAAATTTGTTTAGATATCTTCATTAAACTTATTTTATTACTGGTTAAATAAGTTTAGTTTCTCGTATTTTCTATTTAACTTTGGAGTGTTTTGCTTGTTGCAATGGAGTAGATTGTAAAATAATTTTTATTATTTAGAATATTAGAAAGAAAAGAAAAAAAAAAAGCAAATTAAGTTATGCGTTTTATTATTATTTATTAAAAAGAGAAAAAGAAAAAAAAAACTTCCACTCTCTTCCTATCTGAACCTGCCCCAAATCGGCGTATAGTATAGGTTTTCATTCAATCTTCGACTCTCACTCATCTCTTCTTCTCTATCTAAGCTACCAAAAACAAAGAGCAAGGGTTTTTCTCTTCCACCATGTTTTCTTTTTCACTTCAATTTTAAATGTAAATTCAGATTTAGATTCATTTCACTTCACTTTTTTCCTCACTCAATTTTAGGGCTCTTCCCCAAAACCCTTTCACACCAAGATTTGTGTATTCTGATTACTCGATCTCGCTATGGAATCTCGTGATTTGTTACCTTCTTCTTCCCCCTCCACCAACAACCGCGACGCTCCTTCCGCCGCCGCCGAAGTTGACGACGGCCTTTTCGCTCTCGCCAAAGACGCTGCTATGCATTATCAATCTGGCAAGTTTGGTGAATGTGTCGAGGTCATGAATCAGCTCTTGCAAAAGAAGCCTAACGATCCGAAGGTAATCGGTGGAATTATCCTCACCTTCGGTATTGATTGCTCCGATTTTGTTTTTGTTATCCACAAGAATTGCTCGATGCTTGTTGTGTTTCTATCTATCGTTTGTTCTTGATTCTAGGTTTTCTACCGTAATTGATATACTTCAATTGATTGATTTGTTGGTTTGGTAAATTTCATTTTCGGTACTTTCTGAGAACCGTTATCTAGTAAGCACTTGCAGTTTAGTTGAGTTTTCTGTGGATGTAGATGTTAATTGTGTGTAAGTTCATATGTTGATAACTTGATATGAAATTATGAATTTCCTAGGGTAGCAAGTATGTGAATATAAGTTGGATAAGTTTGTTTTAAGCTGCTTAAACCGCGTTGAACAGATGTTTGTGGGAATTCATTCATTTCATACTGTTTGATGTGATGTGATTTAAGTAATAACGACAGGAGAAATTTATTAGATCGGAGATGAAACGGTTGTGGTTATGGATGTTGTTGATCCCACTATAGAAAGTTTGAATGATCTGACGATCACGCCGGAAGAGGGATTTTGAGCTCTTTTTCTTGTTAAGGACAGTTTTTCTAAGTCGTATTTTTTCGTTTTGCTATTAACGACGCTAATGCTACTTGATTTTCGGTATTTTTGTATATATGACGGCTACTGGTTTCACTTAAAGTGTATCTCTAAGTCAAACGTAGTAAATTGAGTAATGATCTTTGTAGTAAACTGAGTAATGATCTTTGTATAAATTACAACTGCAAACTGTTTACCCATCTCCATGCAAGCCATGTGAAAATATATTTGTTGCACTGTAACTTTTCTCTTCTTGGATGGTTAAGATTGTGCACATCCTTCACGTATTTCGTATTTGAAATGTCTTGGGCCTTTAGCTCTCAACATATAGACCTTTATTATGTCTTTTTGTATTCTAACAATGAATACGATTTAAATAGTTGAAGGAACCTTGGAGTAGGTATAGATGCAAAAGTGATTGTTGTCGAAGAAATAAAATGAAATCATCATTTGTTTGTTTGGTTGTGTGTGCATGTATGTGTTTTTGAATTAATGGATCTGGTGTTTGTGCTCTCCTACATTTCCCGAATCTCTTACAAGTTTAGGGTTTAGAGTTCTCAATTGTCAATATGTGTTTGATTTTGGGAGGGTATTTGTGTCTTCAATTATGTTCACAGTACAATGAAATTCTTTATCATCCATATTCAAGCTTGCTAAAAGCAAAGGACAATGGTTTTGGTGGGTTTATCAGGCCTTGCATTATCTTTACATTGTGTTTTTTATGATGCTGTCTTACACAATCCCTTTCTCTAAGTCGTAATGCTGCCAAATATTTCAGGTCCTTCATAATATAGCAATTGCAGAATTCTTTCGAGATGGTTGTTCAGATCCCAAAAAGTTGCTTGAAGTAATTTACAGCATCAAGGTATGTTACTTTTATACATATAACATTCTTTAACAATTTCTGCTGAGTCTCAATTTTGCAATAACTTTTATTTTCATGGTTGGTAATTTGGGAAGCCAATTCTTATTTACCATTATGTATTAGAAAATTGAAATGGAATGATACTGATGCTGGTTGAGATCAAAACGGCGAGATTGAAATGAAGATAGACCTAGGTCATTATTTGTGCTTTTGTAAACTAAAAGTATATCTAACTTCTTAGCCTTTGGTACATTCATGTAAGTATTTTGGGGACATTAGTTTCCAAATTGGCACATGGCTTCAGTAGATGGAATGATTGTTTTCAATTGACAAAGGCCTTATTTGTTATTGATTTATTTTAATCCGTGAATTGTTTCCTTCATTTTAATAAGAAAGCATATAATTTTTCACTATCTATTGTACCTAGTATTCTGTGATCGGGGACAACTTTTTTTAATTTGAATTCCATCTTCATGGTCTGGTATTCTAAAAGAAGGAAAATATTCACGCACATTACCTGAAAGATAGTATTACAAGTTAGGAAATACCGGTAGTGATGAGTGGAATAGGATTTTCTCTTAGAATCTTAATCAAGTAAAAGTTGGTGCAGAAGATAGGAAGTCTTGTTTATATGCTTACAGTTTTCTGACCTTTATGTTCTCGCTTCTGTCATTGTTTCCCCCAATGAAAGGATCAAGAGTGGTTCACATTCAAATACAACCTTTTGAAATCAACTTAATGCTGTTTTGTATCTATAAAATTGCAGCTTAAGCTCTCATCTCTAGTTATTTGTAATTTTGTACTTACTACTTCTCCTTTTTTCTTTGGGAGTTCATTCAGAGAAAATACGACGAGCTTACCCTGACTTCTGGGGATCAAGGAGAGCCAGTTAACAACGTCGCAAATAAAGTTGCTTTTGGATCCAAAGGAAGCAATAACACTGACACGATGCATCCAGATGAATTTGAATCTACTGCCGCAGCACTAAATATCGTATGTTTATTTTGATCTCTATATCAATTTAATTTTGGCGATTGTTGTTTTTTATTATATTTCATGTGATTTTTGTTATTTTAATGTCTCTAGGCCATCATCTGGTTTCATCTTCATGACTATGCAAAGACGGTATCAGTTTTGGAACCCCTATTTCAAAGGATTGACCCCATAACGGACGTATGTCTTATACTGTATGACATTATTTAAAAAAAATAAATTACAATGGGGGTGTTAATGGATTTGTTTTGACCCTTTCTCTGTGTGCTCTTTCATAAAGCAGTCAACAGCTCTACATATTTGCCTCCTGCTGCTTGATGCTAGCCTTGCTTGCCATGATGCATCAAAATCAGCTGTAAGTTCTGTACGATAATTTTATTAGCTGGTTCACTTTTTTAATAATTGCAAGGTCTTTTGCTTAATGCTTTTCTGCCAACCATGTTTTCTCATCTAACGAGTGAATTATACATGTGTGTGTGTGTTATATATGTAATTTATATGCATTTTTCAATTATTAAAGTTTACATTAAAAGTGGAACTATGAACCTCTCTTTCTCTTTTTGCAACCTAAATGTTTCTTCCCAAACTAATAATGTTGAGCATAACAGCTGAATGTTTTCATCAATAATTTGTCCAGCTGACCCCAGTTAAGGCTTGGCTGTTACTGTAATCTGTTTTGATCCTTTATTGGTAGTTATTTGGAGGTTATCTTTGTTATGCATAATCATGTACTTAATAAGTATTCCTCAGTTATCAGAAATAGAAAATCAATTTATACTGATTATAAATTGGGTCCGTGCACAGAAAATGTTAGGTGTTATATCTAATTATTTATCCCATTCCGTATGTTAGACTTAGAACCACTGTTGTTAGGAGGATAGGCTGGGAAATATTGGAAACACCCATTCAAAATGCTCTGCAATTGACAAAGGAGAAATATAGAAAGGTGGGCGAGAGGGGGTGAGGGTATCTTAAAAATATCAATTGGTTTCAGTGTGGCTTAGAACCATTGCCTTTTATTTTACAGTTTTATTCATCTTGTAGAGAGGACTCATCCTCTGTTATCCATACTTCTGGTTTTTCTTCTATTCCGGTTTTGGTACTTAACAGCATAGTAGACAAGAATATATTAAAACAATTCATTTTGTAAATTCTACTCTATCATCTTTACTAATGTGATTAAACTGAAAGTTTGCTATACAACTGGGTTTACTTGACTACTTTTTTTCTGATTAAAGGTGATGTGAAAATTTCTTGGTGGTTGGCATATATTCTTGAACTCTCCTAGTTGCCGTCTGTCTGAGTTTTTTTGTGGATGGCTTAATAAATTTATTTTTGTTTGTCCGCTTTTTTAGCTTCTTTAACTGTACAAGTGCACTGTTCTGAGCTGTGGGTCTGTGTTTAGGATGTGTTGACTTATCTGGAGAAGCTATTTAGTGGTGGTACTGCGAGTCAAGGCGACTATGGGAATACAGCACAGCAACAATCTGCAAATCTAACCTCTAAGTCTGCCCCTGTCACCATTAGTGATTCTGCTGCTGATCCATCCAGTTCTGATTTAGGGTCAAGTGCTAATACATCTGAAAATAATCTTTCCAGAACGTTGTCTGAAGATGGGCTTGATTATGAAGCCATGATTTTGGATATGGGTGGACAAAATTTAACTAGGCCAACAGGCCCGTCTTCAAATGTTCTTTCTAGAGCTTTGGTTGACAGGTTTTCTTCTCTTGATTTAAAGCTTAAGTTGCAACTTTACAAAGTACAGTTTCTAATTCTTACTAGGAACCTGAAGATAGCAAAAAGAGAAGTCAAGCTGGCTATGAACATTGCACGTGGACGAGATTCATCCAGGGCTCTGCTTTTGAAATCTCAGCTTGAATATGCTCGTGGTAACCACCGCAAGGCCATAAAGCTATTGATGGCATCAAGTAATAATAGGACGGACACAGAATTTTCAAGCTTATTTAACAACAATCTTGGGTGCATTTATTATCAGCTTGGGAAATACCAGACGTCCTCAATTTTCTTCTCAAAAGCATTAACTAATTGTTCGTCCTTGAGAAAGGAGCAGCAGATAAAGCTGACCACTTTCTCGCAGGATATTTCTCTCCTTATAATTTATAATTGTGGTATGCAGCACTTGGCTTGTGGAAAGCCAATACTTGCAGCTCGGTGTTTTCAGAAGGCAAGCGTAGTCTTCTACAAACAGCCTCTCTTGTGGCTCCGACTCTCAGAATGCTGTCTGATGGCTTTAGAAAAGGGCCTGATCAAATCATGTCGGGTTCCTTCAGAGAAGTTGGAGGTTGGAGCTTGTGTTGTTGGGTTGGAAAAATGGAGGCAACTTGTTGTGAAAGATCAAATTCCAGGTAATGGGCACTTGGAATCATCCAGAGGGAATGAACGTTGTCCAAGTGAAGATGGGTGTCTGAAGTTATCCATGTCCCTTGCTCGACAGTGTCTCTTGAATGCTCTTCACTTGCTGGACTCGTACAGTACAAATCGTTTGAAATCTGGTTTGCCCTCTAATTCTTCTGTGGAGAACGATACAAGTGAAGTGTTGCCTTCAAAGAATTCAAGTCGTAAAAACTCGCATGTAATTGATTCAAAGGCATTTTCAGGAGCAATAGGTTTAGGTCAGGTAAATTCTAATGGGGACACAAAAGAACAGAAGGGAGGAGCTAGTCAGGAACTCTTTCAGAACTCCCTATCGTATTATGAAGATGTCTGTAGAAGAGATAATCAATTGGTTAAGCAAGCTGTTCTTGCTAATTTAGCTTATGTGGAGCTAGAATTGGACAATCCCGTAAAGGCACTAGCAGCTGCAAAATCTCTCTTTGAACTTCCAGAATGTTCCAGAATTTACCTTTTTTTAGGCCATGTTTATGCGGCAGAGGCTCTTTGCTTACTGAACAGACCAAAGGAAGCTGCTGAGTACTTATCATATTATTTGTCTGGAGGAAACAATGTTGAATTGCCATTCAGCCAAGAGGACTGTGAGAAATTGCAAGTAGAGAGGACTGTTGAATTTGAAGAGGTAAATGTTGGATCCACTGCTGCCAAGAGTTCTCTTCAGGATACGCAAAGTATTGTTTTCCTCAAGCCTGAGGAGGCACAGGCAGCAATTTATGCAAACTTTGCTGTAATGTCTGCAATGCAAGGGGAATTTGAGAAAGCCAGTATGTTGGTTACCCAGGCATTGTCCATATTGCCCAACAGTCCAGAAGCTACACTCACCGCAGTTTATGTGGATCTCTTGCTTGGTAAGCAACAGGAAGCTCTAGCCAAGCTAAAAAGTTGTAGCCGTATTAGGTTCCTGCCCAGCGGAATAACATTAAATAAATCTTCATGAGTGTTGTATGCATGGTTTTATCATTGTTCCTGCCCCACCTCTCAGCGTTAGTTAGCAGGTAGCTTAATCCCTCCATAGCATTTGTAACATATATATGTTCAATTCAGGGAATAATTATTTTTTTTCTTTTTTTGTGATTCATTGTCCTTATAATTCTCAAATTTAGGGGTCAGTTACTGGTGGAGGCTGTGTTTTGAGTAGTATTAGTGCCCACCTTTTAAATTTGAGGTGTAGATCTGATTCGGATTGTGTTTTTATTTTCTAGAGGCTAATTTAGTTGATATTCAAGAATAGAGGTAATGTGCTTATATTGAGAAAACTGAAAAGTGGATAGTTGTTTTGGAGTTACATTTTTAATCCGAGGAAGTTCACTCTTTCTAATTCTGTCCAAATGGGCGCTATTATTGCATCTTGCACGTTTTCCCAGTTGCTGTTTGCTATGCAGGTAAACTGCCTGTATATATTTTGCATGGGCTGTCGATGTAGCAGTATGATGGATGCCCTTCTCTTTTCTTCTGTGCAATCTTGCATAGGGCATTTACTAATTCCGAGGAAGGATATACCGGAAGGATGTAATAATATATTGGGGAGCTATTCTCACCAGCCGCCCTGTTTTCTTAAAAAGCCACTTTTTTTTTTTTCAATCCGGATGGAAAAAAATAGTTTTATTTTTGCATCTGGATGAAACAACACGACTAGGGTTGTTTTGAAAAATCATGTGGGTGAGAAAAGAACAGAGTCAAAATACTAATTCTCTTTTGAGCTCATTTAAATTTAGTATATGGGAGAGAAGATAAGATAAAGGCAGTATCTCTTATATGCAAAAATCTATAAAAATCTATTGAAAGGATCCTTGAGATAATATATAGAAAATATACTATCGGACATTCGGCAAATCCCACATTTTTAATGGGTTGATTGAGAAACTTTTCAAATTAAGTTATTCTGATACCCAAAATAACTTATTCTTTAACTTTATCAGATCATGTTAACTAGTTAAAAATTCTACTCTTTCTGTTTTAAAATAACTGATGTTTAAGATTTTTGCGTACAAATTAAAGAATGTAATGATTTTTGCGTACAAATTAAAGAATGTAATGATGTTGTTCTAAGACATTATATTTTTACAAAATTAATCTTATTAATGTAATGGAAGTAGTATAAAGAGTAAAAAGTAAATTACACAATTGAAAAAATAATAATCATTATTATATTGAAAAATAAAAATAACAGTTATTTCAGAACAAAATTTATTTATTAAAACGACAGTTTTGATACGCAGGGTGCAACAAGTTTATCATATCATATGGTATCATATGTTAACTAGTTAAATTTAATTAGTGACGGAGGCTAGTTTAGAATTGAGTAGGATCTATTTTTTTCTTTCTTTATGTGACAATGCCTTTTTCTCGCTTATATTGCCACAATTGCTTGGCAGTGGCACATTCACCGCAACGAAACCGAATCCTGTTTCTGGCACTCTCCACCACACTTTCTATCAGTCACAGTTGCCTTCACATTCAATTGCCTCTAAATACCTTTTACTCTGCTCCTTCCACTTCTCATCATTGTCGTTGTATTGCGTTATCATCCCGTTGTTAATTTCTCACGATAGTATACCTCAAATGGTGTTGTATGGCAACTTATATCTTCGCTTTTGTTTTGGACCGCTCAGAAGGCCTACTCACCAAGCCTCAATTGCAAGCATCACGGGAAAAGATGCAAGTAATAAATGTGATCTCGCTCAAGTACAAAATACGTAATTTCAATCTCTTATTTTTCTACCGTTAGATCTAATGGAAAATGACCCGCACAAGACATCTAATTAAACGGAAGCAGTTTTAACCGTCTATATTATAAAGTTCGTACGCGTAAAATTCAAATATTTTATTACTCTCACATTCGAATAATTTTTGATTCATTCACTGATTTTGACATTGAAGTGCTAACATTGCAGATCTATTCCGTCCCGTTGTATTGAAAACATACTCCACAACATCCGAACTCCATTTTACCCTGTCATCTACTCCATTTTACCCTGTCATCTCTATTTCGGTCTTAGAATGGAACATTGGCAATGTCAGTTGGAATCTGTCTTCTCATTCCCACGAAATTTTACATGAAATCACGGTCTCTTCATCGTAATTTGGCAAACATACGATCTCTGTCCCGTTTGAATCACCGATTGAATTAGTGAAATATGAAAACATTAAAAGCTGCTCGATCAATTGCTCAATGTAACATTATCGTTACGACAGCTACAACAATCAATGCTATCGATCTCGCAAGGGAGACTTTGCTTCTTTACACGATCGAGGATTATCCTGTCCTGATGACTTCTCTTTCCTCTTATCTACTACAAAATTCAGTCACTCCGACAATCGGCCAAGGCATATTCTAATTCCTTTTGTTTTTTCCCCCAGCTTTTTCAACAACTATTCTAAGTCTAAATCTCAGAGTAAATCTCCATTGCAACCGTTTACTCTCGGGTAATTATGTTTTAAAGCTTCAACAGTTATAAGCCAATCTAGTTATGCAAGAGGCTAACAATCTGTTTAACAATGTCTATGACTTGGTGTAGCAACAAAGTTCACACTTTTTAGTTGGAAGAGTAATTTGAGTCAAACACAATTTACAATATGTTCCTCCTAGAGACCATTATGTATGCAAGACAACTGCACACACGATCAGAGAGTCGCGGCAGTACCAATCCATCTTGACACCATATTTCCACGCACATTGGTTTCTAGATTCTTGGAGCAAATCGTGTCAAGAGCATCATACCCCACCACATGAGTCTGAGGGAAGAGAAGACTGTCCACTCCATTGGAGATCCATCGTCTATACCATTCTGTCACTCTACTCTTGAAGAGATAAAAGATACAAAGTTGAGGCTCAAGCTCCCTAGAGGAAGGGGAACCTGTTCTAGAAGCACATCCTCGATAGTAGGATATTGAAATCCCTCGAGGAACCTTTTAAGTTGGACAACTATGATGGCTCACGAAATCCACACAAGCATAATGAGCATCTAAACATCAAACTCGATTACTACCATGCTCAAAGAGCTGTGGAATGCAATTTATTCGTGTTAACCTTCAAAGGAGCTATAGTGGCGTGGTTCAAGGCCTTCCCCGATGTGAGTATACACTTCTGAAATGAATTATGTGACACTTTTATTGCTCGATTCATTTTCGAAAGGGCCCAATTCGTTATGATAGCTGTATTTAGTGGGATTCAACAAAAGAAGAAGAAAATCCTAGGTTAGTACATTGATCGAGTTACCAACGTAGCGGTAAAAGTAAAGGAAAATAACAACAAATTAGAATACTGGATATTTAAAAGGGATTAAGACCATACTGCATGTTCCACGAGAAGCTAAGACTAGAAGGAGCCCGTGGTTTAAACAATCTCTAAACTAGAGATCCATTTTACTCAATTATGAAGAAAAATTTCTAGCCTAAGAGGTAGAGAAAGGTCGGGGCACAAGAAACACATGAAACAACCAATGTTCATACATATACAGCAACCGCCGCCGGGATGATGGAGACAGGGGACCTCAGGCAAGGTTCTCATCCCTACTCTTTTAAACACTTCAAGGGAGAAAATTTTACAAGAATGTGCAAATACCTACTTCAAGGAAGCCGAAATAAGAAACCTTTATTCTTTAAATGAGTCAGTCATGGCTGACATAACAAAAAATTTCCTTTTCCATAAGAGTCATGACCACAACACTGATAAATGCATATTTTTGAATGATGCAATTGAAGAGATAATCAAGAAGGCGAGGTTCACTCAATACACTCAGGAGGGAGATCTAAAAGATGTATGAGAAAGGAAGAAATATTTCAAGAAATGATACAGATTGCCTTGGAAGAAATGATCCCCTCGTCATGAAAAATGATCTCCTAAGAAATCCATAGAGGCGGTAAACGGAGCCAAGGGAAGAAGGATAACAATGGCGAAAAAGAAGAAGACCGAATGTGAAAATGCTAGTACATCACATACATTACTTGAGGTCTTCCCAGGCCGAGGAACCTATCTAAAGGCATTGTTAACAGAAGAAATGTCGAGCTAATGGCGATCAGTAGAGAAGGAGAGATAACTTTTGAAGGGAAGCCAGAGAGATCTATCTTCGAGTTCCACAATATCAAAAAGGTGAACAAAATTCTAAATGAAACCTTCCCCTTGGTGATAAGGACGACTATGACCAACTTTAATGTATCTATAATTCTCATAGATAGGGGTGCTCATGTGACATCATGTACACAAAGTTTATCACGAAGCTCAAGTTGAAAAGGGAAAATTTGTAAAAATATGAGAGATGCATTTCCTAAAGGCCATCTTGAGTTTTCTTCCGACCTTTCCGAGCTTCGTTCCAAGAAGTCTCCATTTCCTTTACCATATTGCTGGAAAATCCAATGATTGAGTGCCTCGACAAGGGAAGAATTAGTTGTGCATAATACTGTTTGAACAAATGTTAGGGATACATCATTCTTCTTTATCTCTAGAGTCAATATCTGCACTCTTTTGGCCAATAAATAAGGATAACCGAAATACCGTATCTCATTCTCCATCTCTATCAACAGACCACTCGTCTTTGTGATCTCATACAGAAGTTGGTTCCACTTAATAGTAAAAGTACCAACTTGCTCCATGAGTGCCTCTTCCTCTCTTCAAAGATAGCCAAGCAAGAATACACCCCCCTTCCGGTGGCACTAAATAAAGGAAATAAAGAACACAGAGAAATTGGTAACCCAGTTCAGTGTAATATCACCTACGTCTGGGGGGTTTCCAATCCAAGAAAGGAAATCCACTCTCATTAGTATTAGTACAAAATGTATTAGTACAAGGCAGTTGCTACATAACCAAATTAGATCAAGACAAGCTTATCTACAAGACATATGGGATCATAAGCATATCAAAGAACACATGCACAATATAATATATCAAAAACTCAGATAAGAATCTGCACAACATGCACCGTGTGCACACAATCACTCACCGCATCAAATTATATCACTCCCCCCTTTTGCCATAATTTGGCAAAGGTATAGAAAAAGAGAACTAGGGAAATACCAAAGAAAAACTAAATCTGGATTGTCATAGTGTAAAAACACATCAAGGTAGAAATAGACACACAAAGTTATAGAACCATTACAGAATCAACACCACAAAATCTAGAACATGCCCATATACAAGGGCAAAAAAAATCTGAAATGACTGAAGACAAATAAATTATCTAAACTTTAATGTCCAGACCAACCCCCTGATGATAGCCAACTGACCCAATCTTCATCAGCATATGATTCATAATCATTTGATTAAAAAGGCTTTCTCTTCAAGGACCTAATTTTTGCCACACACTTTTCCTAATCATATATGTTCCAAGAGATGGTTCAGCATGTGGTTTAACATTTGTTTCATACTTTTCCAAATCAACCTTCTTTGACTTAGGAACCCTTTTTCCTTGTTGTTGCCTTATTGACTTAAAGCATTATGACCCCATTAGCATTTGTCCCAGATTCACTAGTCTTAGTTTCTTTCGATTTTGACTCATATTTGTAAGAAATTGAAGAACTGGAGAGAAAAT